ATTAAATTTTCACCAGATGTCGGTAACAACCCAAGTAATCCATCCATACAAAGAAAGCAATACAAATAAGTTCAGAAATTAAGTTGTGTGTAACACAGGGAAAAAGTATTGAACACATGAAGAAAGGGAGGTGCAAAAAGGCACGGAAAGCCAAGACAGCAGCAGAAACCTATCAGTAATTAGAAAGCAATCCTGCTCCTCATCAGTGGAGATTAATATGAGCTTCAGTCCCAACACCTACAGAACCAGGATGATGAAGATGAAGATTTGAAGACTCTGTGGAAGAATGGGCCAAAAGCACACCTGAGCAATGCATGCCACTAGTTTCTCCAGACAGCTGTCATCACCAACAAACACTTTTGTACAAAGTATTAAATACATTTCAGTAGCTCAATACTTTTTCCCTGTGTTACACAGAACTTAATTTCTGAACTTATTTGTATTGTTTTCTTTGTATGTATGGATTACTTGTGTTGTTACCGACATCTGGAGAAAATTTCAAGTCAACAGCACCTTCAGAAATATATTTACTGAGAAAAATGCTGACGTGTTCAAAACTGATTTTACCCGCTGTATCTATATAGTGTTAATACCGCATATCGCACTATTGAGCCACTCAGAATGAGCGCTTGGGAAAGTTCTAGTGTGCTCTGTTCTTCAGGACGTGGAGAACATCTTCAGCCGGATCGTGGACATCCATGAGGTGACGGTGAAGCTGCTGGGGCTGATCGAGGACACGGTGGAGATGACCGACGAGGGCAGTCCTCACCCGCTCGTGGGCAGCTGCTTCGAGGACCTCGCCGAGGTCTCACACTCACAGATATAAGATATACCCCAGCGACTTAACACTGCTTTTGTGCTGCAGGGACACACGTCTCCAAATGATCAAATGATTTATATAGCGATGTCTTTGTACCTTTGAAACAATGAAATGAATTTAAGTATTTCTGGCAAAGTGCAGTGACTACAGTCAGACCTAGACTTGAAAATCAATGAATTAGTGATTTTTTTTTTGTTGTCAAATTTTATTGTTAACAATAATAAAAGCTTTTGTTTAATAATATTATAATTTATAATAAATTATTTTATTTTTCAATGTTCTGTTAAAATAATTGTAGTAATAATTTAATCATTTTATTAAATATTGTAATTTCTTATAAAGTATTTCATTAATTAATAGTAATAATTTATTTAATTTACTTATTTAATATTAAAATGTATTTAATATACATTTAAATTATTTTAATTTACGATAATACTAGTAATACTTTATTTATTAGATGTAATAATAATAATTTATAATAAATTATTTATTTTATTTAATATAGATATTACAATTTATAACAACTTTAATAATTGAAGTTGTTATAAGAATTATTGAAGTTATTACAACTTTAATAATTTTAATTTAATTAATAATAATTATTATTATTATTACACTTTATTTGTTATTTAAAAATAACATTATAATTTATAATAAATTATTAAATTAAAATATTTATCTATTGTAGTAATAATAATTTAATCTAATAATACCACTTTTAAAGTTATTTTTAAATAATGGTAATAATGTAATTTTTAAATTAATAGCATTAATGTAATTAAAAAATTTTTTTTTCTTCCTAACAATATTATATTGCATAATAAAGTACTTTTTAATTAATTTAAAAAAAAAGTAATTTAATTATTAATAAAAACAATGTTTAATAATTATTTAATCATTTAATCTTTTTATTTAATAGTAATACTATTTTATAATAATTTGTTTAATTTTCAACCCATAATAATAATAGCAATAATTTAATTAATGTAATTTTGTATTTAATTTTTTTAATTAAATTTAATTATTAATAATAGCATTTAATAGCAAATACATTTTAATTTAATAATACTATTTCAACCCATAATAATATAATAGTAATAATTTCATTAATGTAATTTTTTTAATTAAATTTTTTATTATTAATAATAGCAGTGTTAGCGATATTTTTATTTAATAATACTATTTTTAATAATTTGTTTAATTATTCATTAATAATAATAATAGTAATCATTTAATTCATGTATATATTTTACTTAATAACACAATTATATTTTAAAAACGATTTATTTCTAACAAAGTAATTCTTATTATAATTCATGTATTTATTTCTTTTTTAATGTGTATCGCTCAGCACTACTAGTAAGATGATTGTGTGTGTGTTGTGTGTGTGGAGTTTGAGCTGCTTGTTTTTCCTGTCGTCGATTAAATCTGAGGTGTGGGCCTTTTTCAGGAGCTGGCCTTTGACCCCTACGAGACGTACGCACAGGATATCCTGCGCAGCGGCTTCCACGATCACTTCCTGAGTCAGCTGTCCAAACCTGGAGCGGCCATCTACCTGCAGGTCAGAGGTCACAGACGCACTGGAGATATGAACACACACGCACACACACACTCACACTCACACACTCACTCACACACACTCACACTCACACACACTCTCACACACACACACACACTCACACACACCCACTCTCACACACACACACACTCACACACACTCACACACACTCACTCACACACACTCACACTCACACACACTCTCACACACACACACACACTCACACACACCCACTCTCACACACACACACACTCACACACACTCACACACACTCACTCACACACACTCACACTCACACACACTCTCACACACACACACACACTCACACACACACACACACACAGTGCTGGTTAAAATCATCAGAACACTAGTATTCTCAGCAGCTAGTCAGTTATGTCTATCTTTTGCTGTAGTGTGTCGGTAGGAAATATCAGTTTAGGTAATTTAATTGTAATAATGCAGTGAGACTGAAGAAAGATGAACTGTGTCTGTGTTTCAGTCCATCTGTGAAGGCTTCAAAGAGGCGGTGCAGTACGTGTTGCCGCGGTTACTCCTCACACCCGTCTACCACTGCCTGCATTACTTCGAGATTCTAAAGGCGAGTGTCATTCCCACAATGCACCTCACTGACTCATGCATGACTTCTGAAACCAAATGATGCAAAATGAATCGTTTCTAACCGTACAGGACAGAAGAAAACTAATAAAGCCTGCTGTCTGTGCACTTTCACATCTATATAAACGATTTAGAGCATCAACACTTCTCAAACCCTGCTGCAGGGTTTAATAATATTATTATTGATAATACATTTTGTTTTTAATAAATAAAAAATATAGTAAGCATTTAATTACATTATGTGTAATAATAATAATATTCATAATTTATATTGCATTTTTATTTTAATTTGTAGTTAATAATAATTTATGTTTTATTGGCTTGAATAACAGATTCATGTGTTTATAAAAAATGTTGGAGGTGCATTTCAACTATTCTATTTTTAATTTCTAAATTTTAAATAGTTCAGAGCGTGAACTCTTTTCAAACACTGCTGCAGATTTTAATTCTAATATTCTATCTTGCAAAAGTAATTTTTTAATTATTTTATTTTTATAAATAATAATTATAGTAATCATTTAATTACTTTTTAAATTAACATTAATGTAATTTATAATGCATTATTTAATTTTTTATTAATAATAATAATTATTATTAAATAAATAATTAATTTATTATTATTCTTTGTTATATTTTAATTAATAATGGCACATTAATGTTTATAAACAATTTTGGAGGCGCACTTCATTTTTTCTTTACAATAGATTCTATTTAACTCAACTATTTTAAAAATATTTTCAATTTCTAAATGTAAAATCTAAATTACTACTCTGCAGTTTCCCAATCTGGGGATTGTGAGCTGATGAATAAAAATGTCAAATTAAAATAAATAGCTAACTTTAAAATGAAAACAATCACATTAAAATGCATTAAAAACAGACATCAGAGAAGCATGAACATGCGAATGTGCTGTTGAATGATTAGAAATGATCTTGTAATGTCAGGAATGCTTGGAGTGAATATTTGAGTCACTGTGAGTTCAGATGATTGTGTTATTATATTGATCCTGGGTTGTGTGTGTGGCCTTCATTCACTCGTGTTGCTGGATCCGGGATTCTGTCTGGAGTCACAAGGATCTGAACATGTGCCTCTTCCAGAGCTCCAGCATTCCCAGCAGCCCTAAGCTGCTTTCCTGGATTCTTTCTGAGGGATTTATGGAGCAGAAAGCTGTGACGCCTGTACAGACCTCTCGGCTGAAATCAGAAATATCTCTGTTTGCACACACGAGCTGACGAGAGAGATGACAGGATTCCTGACTTACATTCGTTCACACAGAAAGTTCAATCGTTTAACAACACATTCACATGTTTTCGCATTATTTATTTTAATTAACATATTTAGGATTTTATTAATCGTACTAAGTGATTTATGTTGTTTGGGTTTATTTTTAAATTAAATATTTATTTTCATTTTTTTAATGACGTCATTAATTTGTAGCAAATATTTTATTTGGATTTGAAATTTGTATTTATTTATTATTTAAATTTTTATGATTTCTTTTTTTAGTAAGTGTTTTATTTTGATTTGCGTTTAATTAAAAATCATTTTTATACATTATATTTTTGATTTAACACATTTTAAATAAGTGTCTTATTTTGATTGTTTGTACTCTAAAATTATTTGTTTTAATTTTACATTGTTATGATTTAATTAGTTTCAACGTTTTATTATTTCTTAAATTATTAATTAATTTTTTTAATTTAATGTTTTTATTATGTAATTAGTGTTTTATTTTAATTCACTTAATATTTTAAAATTATTTTTTTACTTTTATT